GTCGACACTTTCGTATAGGCTCTTGAGTCTGGACTGAAGTCCTGAAGTTAGTGGTTTCGACACTCCTCGAGGACGCACTCGGCATTCTCTGCTGGCGTTGTGTAATATTTACATAGCTGCTCTGCATCACTTCACAGCTGTGGGCGTATACTATAGGAGCAGTATTGCGGCACACAGCGCACTATATGCGCCGTGGCTGTGACGGAGAGGTATAGTTTAGTTAGGTCTGGTACTGCCAAGGCTAGATTACCAAGACTGGTAATGCTTCTTTATGGCCAACCGGTCCGGTCTGGGCCGGTAGGGGATCTAAAAAATATTCCGAGCCATGGTTTCCAGTTATTGCGTTTATCGTCCGGCAAAATCGGTCCTGAGCTCACGTCATGATTGCATCGGTATCGGGCCTATGTCGCTGTATGACAATGAATGAAGTCCCGGGCTGACGGTTGAGCCACGCGATACTCAAGACGATAGTTTCCGGTGATCAACTCGTCAGTCGAGCAGGGCACGGCCCGGGCTGTTGCCAGGCCTCGGGCGTCGTAGTGACACGACTACATTTCAAATACACCTTATATTCCGATAACACGTTTCCTTCTGTCCCTCAAACGAGTAGCTATACGATTAAACGGTCCGCACTCTGCGCTTATTGTCGGTGTTGCCCTTCCTGAGGTCATTATTGTCAGGTCAACAACCGGTCGTTAAACACGGTTCACTGATCAGAAGACATCGTCCCTTTTACGGAACAACTGGTCCTGTAGCCGGGAATTGTGAAGGTCATTTATCTGGACCCTCCGTTTGTCAGGTTTATGTGACATTAACCCTCATAAAGCGCGAGGTCGTTTTTTGTCCCGCTTGTGTTACGTTGAGGATCAAGGTTCAGAACCAAGCTGAACTCCCAACTGCCCTCGGTATGCTACATGTACACAATCGCAGTCGCTTTTTAAAAGGAAACAAATGGCTTGCTTACAGAAACAGATTGTTTGAATTAAATCAGACCGGCTATCACCAGTTTTTTTTTCTTCTGAACATTGAAATTCAACCGCCAGTAATCTAACGCGATCTGTTGTTTTCAGTGTTCCAGACGGGCATGGTGGGCTACCCGGAGTCGCTGACCGATCCGTCGTACCGCTCCCAAATTCTGCTGCTCACCTACCCCCTGATCGGCAACTACGGCGTTCCCGGCGGCGACACGGACGAACATGGCATTCCCAGGTGAGAGCTCGGCAGCGGTGGTCATTTCGTCACACCCACGGCTGCGTGGTAGACGATACCTTCACAGGTGCATAGCATAATTTCAGACATAATATACGAATCACGTCTCACAAAACGTTAAAAAAATAAACGTTTAAAGTATCAATTAAGTGTGTGAGGCAATGATCAGCAGGGAGTAAACTGATGGTTGACATTAAAAGCTTAGTTATAATTGTATGATGGATCTTTGTGTAACATATTTAAATGCTATCAATCATACAGAATGAAAATTGGGCAAACACTTTCTGCTGCACCAATTTCCAGCTTTGTTTATTATACGGAGCCTTCGTGTTGAACTGTGCTCAGCTGATGATCGTCTATATGTCGTGGACAGTTTTTTTGAGTCGCACCGGATCTGGCCGTCTGGTCTGGTGGTTGGTGAACTGTGCACCTCTCCCAGTCACTGGAACAGCCGACAGACACTCGACCAGTGGATGAAGGAGCAGGGCGTCACCGGAATCACGGTATGGGATCGTGGAGTGGCGGGGTCATGGGCCACAGTGTCACTAGTCATGAGTCGTGGGTCATGGGTCATTGGTCATGGGTCACTTGATCACGGATCGTGGGTCATTTTATCACGGGTCATTGTGTCGTGGGATCATGGGTACATGTGCCCCAACATCACGGGTCGCGATTCCCGTAATTACGAGGTGGCTGGTCACATATGACACAGCTCAGTGTTCACGGGTCACTGCAAATGGTCAGTGATCCGTGAGAGAACTGGAGTCGAGGCTGCGGTCACTGGATGCTGATCACTGGAGCAACGGCTAGTGGAGCCATAAGATTTCGCCTGGAATGTATGCTAAATAATATAGTATCATGTGTGTTACTAACGATTAGAAGATGCTGGAAGTGTAGAGGCGACCTCCACGCCTAGATCTGCGTTAATTTGTCAGTGTATCCCCTTACGTGAGTTTCCAGTGTAACATCTCTTCACCACCGATCTTCCATAATGTCGCCAATCTCTCGCTCTCATGATCTCTCGTCTCTTTCTACAGGGGATCGACACGCGCCAGCTGACCAAACAACTGCGCGAGAAGGGAACGATGCTGGGAAAGATCGTTCCCGAGGGCACAGAGCCGGCTTCTGTGCCCCAGGATGACCCCAGCACTCGCAACTTGGTGGCCGAAGTCTCCGTCAAGGTCGGTTGGAAATCAGACAGACTACTTGTCTACTAGTATTTCCGACTGAACGTCGAATGCGGTGGAATATTAGGATTTATGTTATTGATTAGGGATACGCTTGTCTTCAATTTATGTTGTTGATTCTTTTGTATGGCAAACGAAAGTCGCTACAATATCCATTATTATGTTCTTTAGACTTTAATACACCAATTCGACAACTTTGTTCCTTGGTATGAGACTGGGCTTGACTTTCATTTAAGTTATACCAGTATAACGCCTTTTGGGGCGACTAACGGAGCGAGCGAGAGGGTGAGCCTTGCACGTGCGAAATTTCGACGAGGTACCTCTAGCTGACTTGTGCACGGCACCCTACTAACCGGTCTCTAGCGATGTGCCAAATTTGAGCACAATCGGCCCAGCCGTTCTCGAGATCTGGAAGCGGCACCCTGCACGTGCGCACGTGCAAAATGGGTCCCAACTGAGTTTTGCACGGCACCCTACTAACCGGTCCCTAACCATGTGCCAAATTTGAGCGCCATCGGTCAAGCCGTTCTCGAGATCTGGAATCGACCCCTGCACGTGCGCACGTGCAGCAGCACCCCAATTCTGGCACATGGATATGCATTGCCTAGTGGGTGTCTACCTACATGCCAACTTTCAGCGCAATCGGCCAAGTAGTTACCGAGATATTGCAACAATTACAAAAGTGACACCTCTTCGTTTTGCACGTGGCACGTGCATAAGGGGTCACCCACATGCATCGGCAATAGTCCAATACTTGGTAGAAGGAATGAAGCTACCCTACAAAAATTACCGCGTGTAAATCGGTCAAGTGGTTGCTGAGATATAAGCCTCGCAAAAGCGTGACCACGGCCGGCCGCTCATACTCAGAAATTTCCGTTAATCTAAGGAAAGACTACGCTCGCTTCGCTCGCTCCGTAATGACCTGCAGCGCCATCTGGAGAAGTACGAGCACACCACCCTGCTACCTGACCTGAGCCGTTCCTCCTGTCCGCAGGAGACTGTTTCGTATAACGCTGGTGGCACCCCCTACATCTGTGCCGTCGACTGCGGGCTCAAGTACAACCAGCTGCGGTGTCTGCTGAAGCGAGGGGCCAGGGTGGACCTGGTGCCTTGGGACCAGCCGCTCGACGTGAACAAGTACGACGGCTTCTTCGTCAGCAACGGACCAGGCAAGTTGGCTAGGGATGTTGGACTAACTGCTGGTCGCATGAGTGGCCAGCCGACAGGGCAGAGGGCGCTGAAATACTGATATTTCTACATATATCAAGCTTGACATTCGCAGACGATATATTCAAGTCCTTGCATTTATTTCCTGGATTGAATAAACTTTTCGGAATTTATATGGATAACCGATGTGAATGTGGAAATTGGTCCATTTTTACGGATATCGGGATTCATTTTCTAAAATTCGTAACATGAATTCTGAAGGAATTGTGTCCCATGCAGCTCATAGTTCGTTGGTTTTTGACACATTACATCCCACCTCCAGGCGACCCCGTGAAATGCGCCACCACCGTGTCAAACCTGCGTGACCTGATGGCCGCCCAGACCGGCTCCAAGCACGCCAAGCCCATCTTCGGGATCTGCTTGGGCCACCAGCTACTGGCCACCGCTGCTGGCGGGCACACCTTCAAAATGAGGTCAGTTCAGCTGATTCAGCTCGCGGTTTACCTTTAGACCAATATGTCTGAGTGGACTTCGACAGGGGGACGGCTAATGTCAGTGGAGCAGGATTACTATCGCATTCATGTGATATAACGATGGGGTGGACGGTGAATACATATATGGACCACTATGGTGGTGGATAATCGGAAAGTGATTATGAAGGGCAGATATGGATTCTCTTCAAACTGCGTGTACGTTTTTTTAGGGCAATGAATGTGGAATGCATGTTTTCTACAAGCTCGACTCAAGCTTTTCGGAAACTCTGATAGCAATCGTCCCCATATGCATAGTGTTTCTTGCTGATTATAATGCGTTTCGGAAAATGATTTATATACAAAGCTAGTTGAGACCGGGCTGCACCGCATGTATCCACTCCGACTTCGTTCGCTGTCAAACTGTCATTGGTTCTGTCATTTAGCGCTAGCGGGAATGGATGCCATTATGCCTGCGGCGGAGCGGAAGTGCGTCATAGTGCAAGATGGCAGCTCGATGAGGCTAACGTGTGACGCAGGCCAACGTTCAGGCTGACGGGTTTGTGACAGCCGACTCTATCTCATTTGACCAACACTCGGACGGTACTCCATTGATTGTGTAAGGCGTGTTCACTGTTCACGACGAAATGCGTGGTGTGCACTCCTCACAGTGCACATCTTTATCGCAATTTACATGGGACTATGAAAACTCTTCCTTTTGACAATTTGCAGCTCTCGGCAAATACACGTGATTTAATCTATCTACCATGGCGTGGCTTAAGTATATGAAAACACTTAAAAGCGATTAGACTGCATAAAACGATATTAAAATGAATTCACTGTTCGAATGGCGATTGCGAATGATTCTCACAGCGTGCATTTTTGACATTTGAAAGTGTGAACTTATCAATTGTCACGTCACGCCTGCACGGTATAAAGCGACTCGACGCCACCCCGTCACTAGCTCAGTTGGAGTTGGAGTTTCGTCCGGTCTACAGCGTTGAAGCCCACCGCAGCGATGGCGTCCTCTGCCTCGCGTCTGCTCCTGACCGTGCTGGTCTCTCTGGCGGTTCTCTCCGTATCCGGCGTCACCCCCACGCCGCCAAAGACGGTGAACCCGCCGCTGGTGAAGCCCAAGCTGCCGCTGAAGCCGTACCCGGGCCTGCGGCTGCCCACTTGCCAGATCTGCTCGAAGTGGTGCCCGCGCTGCCTGCTGCCCGGTAACCCGTTCGAGCCGGTCGTCTGTACTGCTTTTTTTCCCAGATGGTACTTTGACTTCAGCCAGCAGCGCTGTGTGCACTTCATCTACGGCGGCTGCGGAGGCAACGCCAACCGATTCTCGTCAGAGAAGGAGTGTCTCAACACCTGCAGAAGGTTCATTTTCCCACGCAAGGGGTAAACCGAACGACCAGCCGACGGGACTACCACTGGAAGCATCTGCCGTGAACGATGCAAACTGTCGTGACTTCTGCAACCTAACTTCAGTCGCTGAGAGCTGCGTTATACAGAAGCAAATGATATGCTGTCCCGCGACTGGATGCAATTTTAACCGTCTTCATTTTGGATTCCTTGATCCGGGATATACTTTACCTACATACATTTTAGGTGCATAGGTACACACAAATATAAGCATGATGTGCTAGATAAATAAATGCTCTCTTCTTCGTAACCGTTTTTTTTTTTTTGTTGGAATTGTATGTGTTGTTTTATTTCATGTGGGTTTTATGTTGCTCTCCAGTAAACAAAAAAAAAAAAAAAACTGACACTTTTATGACGCATTGGCCTTTGCAACATTCTCTGCTCTCCAGTAAACAAAACATTGATTCTTTGATGACTCATTGGCCTTTGCATCATTCTTTAATCGCTCATCGTGCCAAGAAATTTTGTATCCATTTCACTTTACTGACTATTGGTTAAAACACCATTGGTAATGCTCAGTCTTAGAATAAGTATCTTTTGCGTCAATCTTATCAACTGAGTCGTAATTTTGGTCAGTCAGAGGGCTGGCTGGGGGAGGGGGGAAGAGGGAGGCAGTCCGAACTACTAACATTTCTTAGTATGTGCGGTGGCTTTTAACTTGCGTAAAACATATCAATTGACTGCAAGCTGGGCGTTAATTTTTACAGGACTTCGAGTTATGAGTTGAATTTTCAACGAGGCAATGCTAAACTGGTATACCGATTACCGAAGCTTTTCTGCTGATCGTTGATATGTATAGGTACCTAATCGTTTATATCGTCGTAGTGGCAAATGATGCCAAGCGAACTTTGTTTGAGCCTAAATCGAATAAAAAGAATGTCCGTTTCCACCTAACTTTTCAGCATTATATGCTCCGTCATTTATTTAACAGAAATGTCAATATCAAACTGACTGCGAATTTCGAAGAACGCTGCTCATCGAAAGCTCCGTCACGCTTAAAGTTCAGGGGCATTTCACAGCCCGGGCTTCAGTGTCATCTATGAGGACCGAATCATCACCGCACTGCTGACGCAGTGGTATAGTTAAAAAAGATATTTCAACGTGCAGTTTAGTGGACATCTGCTTTATGACATGCGATGCATTTATTTTATTGTTCATTGCTCGTGAAATAAACGATAAGCTAAAAAAAAACTCGAAACGTTTACGTAGCAATTTCATCGTTGGCCATGAACCATCTCATTAAATCTTTTGTCACTTCAAGCGAACTTTCGTATACGGACAAGACAAGAATCTTGGGCAAGCTTTCACATCCATTAGCACAGGAAATAATTGGCACCAGAGACTGCAAGCAATAAGCATGCATCAATTCAGGTGGCGTGGGCATGACAGGTCAAATTCAGGACGTTCTAGTATTTTTAGGACAAGTCACTTCTCAAAGGTTAGGTCACCAGAGGTCGTCGGAGGTAAACATTTTTGTTGAATTAGGTAATGTAGTGATTATAGGTAGATAATATAATAGGCATGCTTATTTCGCCATGGCTTTGCTTCTCATAAAAAGTGTCGAATTGACGAACAAATTGTTTTACGCAATGCAAAACTCGGAAAGTCGAGCAGCCACAGTGCTTTTTCGAACAATACCTACAACCCGTCGGCATTGGCATATTCGTGTCTTATTTACCTTCGAGACCGTGATCATTTCCTTGGGATTCATTTCACAAACTTCGCCACGTGGTGGAAAGTGGATCATTATTTTATTTCAAATCTCCATAATTTTTAATTCTAGCCAGGGCGCCAATTCCTGATATACACCGGCGGCAATTTTCTCTTTTCCTTTTAGTTATTAAATTGTGTGTTCTTTTTTAGTTCTGTCATTTTATCTACCTTGTTTCGAGAAGCATATCAATTAATTTCAAGCATTACCTATCAATGAATTTTCTGTAGAAATTATGACGGTCAGACTCACTTTCACAGTTGCCCTTGCTCTGTGCACGCTAGGGCCTTCTCTTGTTCAGGGAAGAAGTCTAGTTGGACATGGCCAGATCACTGTCACTCTCGAGGACCCCGCCCGGTCTTCAAACAGCACTGTCATCCACAACGAAACCATCACTGAGCCGGAGTACACTAAACCCGCTAGTGAGATGGAGAGTACTGAGGCCAGCACTGAGTCTAGTGCTGGGATAACCCCAGAAGCTCAGAGCAAAGCTGGTAGCGACGGGCTTAGCACGGAAGCAAGCACCGATTCCAGCGTCCACATCAGCATAGAGGCTAAGAGTCAGGCTGCGGGCTCTGACACTAACTTTCATGATAGCTTTGATGATAGTGCAGAAGCAGGCACCAAACCCAGCGACGAAGGCAGCCACGAGACAACTGATAGTCAAGCTGAGAGCGACGAGAGTAGCTTCAAGACCGACACGGAAACTAGCAACAATCCTAGCGAAGAGGCCAACATAGCGGCTGGGAGTGAGGTTGAGATTGCTGAAACTAGCACCAGTGCTTCCTTCAAGCACAGTACAGAGGCTGAGGCAGAGGATGAGAGTGCTGAGGCTGAAACCAGCATCGAAACTGAGCGTGAGGATAAGGGAGCCGCGACTGGCACAGAATCCAGCATCCAGGTTAGCACAGAAGTGGTGAGTGAGACAGAGACCACCGAGGCTAGCACAGATGCTAGTTTTGAGGTCAGCACAGAGGCTGAGTATGCAGATGAGATTTCCGAAGCTGGGAGCAAGGATAGTTTGGAGCTAAGCACAGAGAGCACCCAGGCCAGCACGGAGAGTAGCAGTCAGCTTAGCATTGAAAGTAGCACCGAGGTTATCACAGAAACTAGCAGCCATGTGAGCGCAGAGGCCGAGAATGAAGCTGAAAGCGCTGAGACTATCGCCAAGCTCAGTATTGGAGCCAACACCGAAGTCAGCAGTAGCACAGAGGCCGAGAGTGAGGCTGAGAGTGCTGAGTCTGTCACTGAGCTCAGCACAGAAGCTAGCAACGAAGTCAGCAGTAATACAGGGACTGCTGTTGAGGCTGAGAGCGCTGAGGCCGAGGTTAGTACCAAGTCTAGCAATGAAGCCACTACAGAGGGCGAGGTTACCATAGAGGATATTGGGCATGATCTTGAGACTGAAAATGAGTTTGAGAACATTACGCTGAGTGTTGAAGACGACGCTGAGACTGGAAGTGAGGATGGTCACGTCGAGTTCAGTACCACAGCCAGCTCTGATGTTAGCACCAAGGCCGAGGGTGAGGATGAGAACGACGACGTTAGCACCAATGGTAGCACGGAGCCTGGCACAGAAGCCGACCACAGCGGTACCGAGAATGTAGAACATGAAGACAGTGAAGCGGAAAATACTGAAGATGAGGATGCCGCAGGTGCAGTTCACCTAGACGAGTTTACTTCAACTGAGGATAACTTAACGACATCTGCTGAAGAGGTGACCGATAGTCCCCATCCAGAGAACTGCCAGGAGCCCGGGTTTGTCGAGTGCCCCGCCTGCCTGCAGCCGGGAAACCCCAGGCATAATTACACCTGTGACGCCTCTGCCCGTAACTGGTACTTCAGCTACAAGGATCAGAAGTGTGTAAAATTTATTTACAGTGGCTGTGGTGGTAACTTCAACAGGTTTGACAGCAAGAAAGAGTGTTTGAGGTTTTGCAGTAAATACATCGATGAAGATAATGAAAGCGATCTAGCTAAAGACTACTTTGACATATTTGACAAGATCCCGGATGGACCAGTTGCCTTCAAACCGGAGGGCAGAGTGAACTATAGAGGGTTGCTATAAATGGCACGCACCCTTAGAGGTTGTCTCTGTCTTATTTAACTTCTTGTTATTGAGCGAATTATTTCTTTGAGCGGTTCTCCTGACTGCAAAGCTCGGTCTAGTGTGATAACAGTCCGATAAATTGTTTATGTTTGACGAGTGCGCACGGATCACAGCCATGTGTTATCGAAACAATGCAGTTTAATTTTTTGTTTCTATAAGATAACTTTTGTTGTGTCTCTTTTGATGGATTTCAGACTTGTTTGCTAGGAGATGCTGCAATAAAGATAACAGATTGACACTTGACAAAGATTGACAAAGATTTGTTATCCGAGGTATAATTATCAGGCATTTGCGTATTGAGTATTTTTCTTCTCAATGATGAGTTTGACATGAAACATGATGTGACCTCAGGTAAGGTCATGGCCTCACTCACCTCACAACATGTTTCCAGAGGAAATGTGTGGCTTGAGCTTCTGACCTGACATCTCCCCTTTCTGTTTACAATTTAATCGGCTCACGCCTCACGGCATGCAGTCGCGCTGCCCCCCCCCCCCCCCGCACAGTGACATATTCTGAGATGGAACTCGGAGCCCAAACCACAAACGGTCGCTGTGCGGCCTGCGTGACATGTCGTAACTCAAAGCTGCTCGGATTTGTGACCCACTACTGTGCTGCGGTCCTGACCACGGCACAAGAAGCAGGTCCTACGCTCGCGTCAGGCTGTCAGTGAGATTTCACTTTTGTGTGGCATGTGACGCCCGGCTGTACTCAGACGACTCAGACGCGCCCGCCAGCCGACGATTTCGGTGCATCTGGGACAGTTGCGGCGCGGCGGGCTGCCGTCGCGCATGCGCAGTAGCGTCAGAGCCTGCGCGACATCTGGTGGCGCTGGAACGCTGGAGCTGGGCGGTCGGGAGGAGGCGGTCGCAGTGGGCTGGGGCACTGGCAGGGTGAGAGGAGGTTAGATAGGTGGGAGGTGAGACGCCGCACAGCGTGGTCGAGTGCCTAAGGAGTGAGCCTAAGGTGTGTTTGTCGTGGCAGCAATGCTGTGGTACGCTATGATTGCGGTGACTCTGGCGGCAGCGGCAGCCGATCCGTTGCCTCAGACCGACTGGAGCAACGTCCACTACCAGCTGGTGGAAGGAGGACACGCAAAGCCGGGCAAGGTGCCCATGCAGGAGTACATCGTCGTACAAACACTCGACAAGCTCGGCATCAGCTTCGATCGAGCGGGAAGCACGTTCGAGGCGGTGATGTACAAAAAGTACGGTCCCGATTGCTCGAAGCGCGTGCTGCTGACGATGCGGAACACGATCCGGTGTGTGAAGGAGCAGCTGGACCTGGAGCGGATCGCCTCTCTGGGCACTGGTCAGCTCCAGGCGCTGCAGAGCAGTAACCCGGCCACGCTGATCTGCCAGCTCGTCCACCTGGACGGCGTGGTCAGCTGCGCCGAGGAGCTGCAGAACAGCGGCAAACTCGCCTGCACGCACGACAACATCGTCGCCAACGAGGCGCGCACGATCGCGGCGGCGGCGCGCGCGGCGCGTCACCTCTGCCGCGACTCTGGCGAGCTGTTTGGCCGCGGCCTGCGGCAGCTGCAGACGTGCGCCGCCGAGCCGTTCCAGCGCTACAGCGGCGCCATGGCCGACTGCATGCAGCACTTCCAGCAGCTGATGGAGGAGCAGCAGGTGCGCCAGCTGGACCAGCAGTCGGCGCTGCTGGCCGACTCTTTCTCAGCGGTGGAGAATGTAACCGAGAGCTGCCCGGCGCTGGTGCGGCTGGCGCAGTGTCTGCCGCCGGCGCTGGCGCATTGCTCGCCCGTGATGCGGGACGTTGCCACGGACGCGCTGCGTGAGGTGGTGTTCCGCGGCCTCTGTGTAGACAGCATGCAGCAGCCGGCCGTGCTGGAGGCCGTGGATGAGTTCGGCAGGCTCAACTACTACCGCTCTGCCAGAGGCGCGGCGGCCGCTGCCGTGCCCGGTGTCACAGCAGCTCTGGCGGCTGTCACCACTGCAGTGGTGGGGGTGCTCCGGAGGAGCTGAAAAATGAATAGAAACTCAGGGAATAGGGTATGCTGGAGCAGAGTTGTTGGGCGCGACTGAACTCAGTCACGGTGGAAGTGAAGCGCTCTTGGCTGGACCGGGCGTCTCTTCGGACACGACACAATGCAAATATAGTGAATGTGCGTGCCGAGGATGGGTCGCTCGAAAGTGATTAACCAACTGATGGAGGCGTTGATGCCAGAAAGGCCGGGAACTTTTCCGTGCTCCTTACTACCTGGAAGTGTTGCTGTGGTCGGCTGGTCACGAAAGGCGTTCTGTCTGAATGTGTGAATCATGGACCGGGCATATTATTCCAATAATTGTTAGCATTGTATCCATGAGCAGGGACATTTGTATTTGCACAAGATCGTCGAATCATCGTGCCTGGACGCTACTTTTTCATACATTGTGCACATGTTACGATTGTGAATAGCCTTTGAAATGCAATGTTCCTCGTTCAATCGACACGGTAAACTTTGTCACCGTTCTGTGGTCCGATTTTTTTCCCCTGGGAAGATTGATGGTTTTGCTATTGTCAATTGCATGACTAAATTATGACCATGCGTTTTTGGAAGTACCTGCTTTGTCAGTAGCAAGCCAGGAGCAAATCAGGGTGTATTCTCAATGAGTGAACCTGTGAAAATAGACGCACACCAGGGTGTCCTATATCATTAAGAGCATACCACAGTTGTGCATTTTATCTGAGGCTCCCATGCATTATTAGTTCTGCATTCTGAGGTATCACTCTGACTCTTTGTAGCGATAACACAAGCCTCAGAATTGCACTGTTTTTACCGCATTTGGGATCCAAAGAAAATGTCTTACGCAAACTCTCGTGAAATAGGTCGATGACTTGGTATAAAACTCGTTCCCATAGACGTGATATGTGACATCTGTAGTTGCGTGTCACACAGTTGCGTGTCACACAGTTGCGTGTCACACAGTTGCGTGTCACACAGTTGCGTGATTTACGACACACTATTTCAGATTTCTATACATTTTTCCGTTATACTCTTGAGCCGTTTCGACACCGTAGTTATTGACTTAAATGCGTGCATTTGCCGTTCCTGATTCCGCTTTAAATCCATGGCCGTTCCATGCTGACACCTTCATATTATGGTAGAAAGCCTGAAAGGTGCCTAAGGTAGCATTGCCTAAGGTAAGGTAAGGTATAGGACAGACATCAGAAGGGCTGTCCTTCAAACTTGCACCAAACGGTGTCAAACTCTGGAAGTGACCGTGCGTTTTTTATCTTGTATGCTTATCAGGCGGTGAATAGCTGTGATGCCTATAAACTGGACAATGTCGCAAAGATTGAGGGCGATCGCTATTTCAACCAGTTGATACACTTAGCCGTTTGTATGTACATTAAAGGTGATTGTGATGTAAATAAGTGTGCTCGATTGTGACACGTCAACCCAAGCATATGTTTGTTTGCCAGGCTGGAATATGTATACTTCGGTGATTGAAAAATAAAAAGTAAACATGACATTTTATTTTTCACATGGGTGAACAAAACATCACATGGTGATGGATGAAATGATTATAATTATGGCCAAATATCTATCATAAATGGGCTGCTTTGGTCCCGAATACCTGTGCGCTGTGCCGTGTACATTTAATTTCATGGACAAATGTCGACTTGTTTGATAACATTCTTATCGGAACGTACCTAGTTAAATAAGAAGCTGTACAGGCTCACTCATCAGTCATGGAAGTATTTATTTGCACGTAATTAGGTACGTCAATCATTACCCTTTATGTCAATAATTAGCCCTCCGCCGTTGGTACAGGTATGTACCATTCTGCCATGTTTACCCGTTATCATACTGTTCTATTGTGCGGTAGCATGCCATTATCTACCTCAGTCCAGAAAGATGCGACACATATATTGGACGTTCATTTCAGTTGCCCCGGTCACACATACACGACGCACGGCCCGCGCACCAAAAATTCATTCATTCTGGCCAGTGCGTCGTCCTGCGCTATGCATTCGTTACTCGTTCGTCGAGCGCGCTGGGCGAACGGAATCATGCGTCGTCATTCGTCGCGTGCGTCGACAATTTTTGTGCATGCTCAAAAATGTGCGTTGAGCTCGACGCACGAAGGCGGACGCCAGACACGCGCGGAGCGCGTTGGACCAGCGCCAGATACACGCGGAATATACGCTAGGTAATCGTTGTATGCTCGTCGGTTGATGCATCGCGTACACCCAGCGCAGACATAGCGTGCCTCTAACGCATGTCTAACGGATTCGCATAGACTATAAAGACGTGGTAAACCAGAGCTGAGCGAGTCTGTAGCGCGCACAGCGTTCGTCTGGCGTATGTCTAATTGTAACCATAACAAGGTCCTACCTCCTCATTGCTCATTCTACCCTCATGGGCGACTCTCCTGCGTTATTGCTGCATAGTGCATGGGTTCCTCTTCAATTCCTCCCGCTCTTGATGTCAGAATTTATAAGTCATTTTAAGCATACATTATTTGTCATTGTCATTGTTTATCTCAGGAGCTGTTGAACCATCTGAAAACATGAGGATGTGCCCTCCTTGGGGGCACATCTGATATGACAGCAGGCAAGACGGGCTACTGCACCGCTGCCAAAAGCAGTTCGCTGGCTGTGCGTTGAATGCGCGGTGCACGCGCAGTCCATGCGTCCCGTGCGCTAGCAAGCCGCTGTGCATCCGTTGTGTGTGCGTCCTTTATGCGCTTTGCATTCGCTGTGCAAGTGCCCGGCGCGCTGGCAACGCGTTCGTAGCGCGTTGTGCATTCGTTGTCAACTTGCCATTTCCTGCGAACTCCTGACAAAAGTTGGTCACACAACAACGCACGACGACGCACTGGTCTTTTTGCAATGCGCCGGCCGTACGTCATGCATGTGTGACCGGGCTAACAGCTTTCTTTCTTGTTTTCCTTATGAAGCACTAATTGTTTTGTGACTTTTGGCGATGCAAGTATTATTTTTCCTTGCAAGATGCTTTATATGAGCATGAAAAAAATCGTTACCCTATAGAGCAGGTCAATTGGCTGGGCCATCCCTTTAGTTGAGTCACAAGTGCATAGACATAGACATGTGCTGTGTAGTAAGAAGTTTCCTGCAAAACACTTACACGTCTTTGTTTTCGTTTTTGTTTGCTTAGGGCAGAATGGCGATTGCATAACCTGTCCTTTTTTGTCATAAACAGTTCAGCACAATCCCTTTCTTCATGGTTCACCGCCGGCAGTTGCAAATTTGCACCATATAACGTGCAAATTTGTTATAAAG